ACAAAATTCTGCGCAAGATTTGTAAAAATTCTGATGAACCATAGGATAGACTAAATATACCAAATCAGTAGATATTTTTATTAGTTCCCCCCTGTAACAGTAATAGTAAAAAGTAGTATACTTGAAATGGTAAAAAGGAAAAGATTTAATTTTAGGCTCGAACACCATTTTTATATGTGTATAATGATTGCTGGACAATCCAATAGAGAGGTTCTACCATTCTAGGTTAAATCATACCAACAAAGTATTTTAATGTAAATACCAACTGTATTGTAGAAAATGTCAATACCTATTTAATTTGTTATATTTTATAAATAAATCGTTTTGGTATTGCCAAAGCTTTTTTCAGTAGAAATAGCGCGTGATGAACTCATCCTTCATGTTGTATGTTGTTTTTCCGAATCACTGAGATATAATATATATGAGGTTACATTACCTTAATCGCCAAGTGATCCATGTAGTCCAAATCTAGGATTACGTACGTTTCGACGTCAATGCGTCATTGTCAAATCTACAAAAACTTTTTTAAACCATAAGGGTCACGTCATAGTCTTTCCGACACACACAAACGAAACAATAACGGACAAAAATACATTTAAGTAGGCCTACTAACTAATTTATGGTAAACGGTCGTCACAACATAGTACAGATCTGATCGCATGCCGAGACTCGACTGATGGTGCGCCGCTTCCTGGTGTATCAACTTGGACTTTGTCCTCTGCCACCTGTATCATCCAGTTTTGAGCTCTTTAGTTTTATGAGGGATTCGAACAATGCATTTGACTGGAAAACACATTTGTCATTCAACAAATTTTGAGGCTGGTTCCGTGTAGCTTTATAAATCTCATAATTTTCCAATGCAGTTAATCTATGTCCTTTTCTGCAAATGTGTAATGGTTTTAAATTACTATACAAATATTAATAGTAATTTAAAACCATTACACATTTGCAGAAAAGGGCATAGATTAACTGCATTGGAAAATTATGAGACTTATAAAGCTACACGGAACCAGCCTCAAAATGTGTTGAATGACAAATGTGTTTTCCAGTCAAATGCATTGTTCGAATCCCTCATAAAACTAAAGAGCTCACAACTGGATGATACAGGTGGCAGAGGACAAAGTCCAAGTTGATAAACCAGGAAGCGGCGCACCATCAGTCGAGTCTCGGCATGCGATCAGATCTGTACTATGTTGTGACGACCGTTTACCATAAATTAGTTAGTAGGCCTACTTAAATGTATTTTTGTCCGTTATTGTTTCGTTTGTGTGTGTCGGAAAGACTATGACGTGACCCTTATGGTTTAAAAAAGTTTTTGTAGATTTGACAATGACGCATTGACGTCGAAACGTACGTAATCCTAGATTTGGACTACATGGATCACTTGGCGATTAAGGTAATGTAACCTCATATATATTGAACTCATCCTATTTAACAGGGGTGTATACAACTTTTACTCCTGCAATTTTTAAAGTATAAACCACAAACCATTTAAAAATACTACTAAACATTTTACACATATACCAAGCTATTCATTTATTGGAATGCAGTAGTTAAGGTTGACATTAAAATCAATTACATTTACAGTTTTGTTATTTTTTGTTCTGTTTCTATCAATGAAGCAATTAGCTAACACAATTAATACATTACTATCTCACCTGAGGTAATTTGGTACTGACATTGCGTTGCCTATCACCAGAGAAATCTGATTAATTTGTAGTAGTAATTACATATCAGCTGCAAGAGACAGATTTACTGCATATTAGGTCCAACACATATGCCTACTCCTTTACATGAAATTTCGCAACACTTCTGATGCAGTGAAACATTATGTACTTCATAGAGAAATATGATTTGCTAATTATCCATTCGTATGAAAATCCTACAGATTCGGTTTTATGGTTAATTGATTGTACTAGTCTATGTTAGTATTTTTTTAAATCTGCTATTTTATATTTCACCTAACCAAATGGTTAGTTTTTGTCAGTAATTAGTCAATGTTATCAAATAGAGTATGACAACTTTTAATTTTATATTATTTGAAAAATATCCTCAATATTAAATATGTACTCTCAATTCTGATATTATATTTTATTTCTAGACTAATGTACCAAGTACCAATTTACATGTGGTTCCGAACCACGTGTCCTCAGAGCTAATGCTAAAACTCATTGTATTATGTATAATGTTAGGAATTGATTACTCGTATTGGCTTTAAGAACACAAGTATCTCACTCAATTCACAAAACTTTGCCTAATACAATTTAAGATACGATTCATTTAAAGACATGACTTCAGATAAAAAAGTAGTATGTATAGAGTTGTGATGAATTTTCTTTTTTACTTTATAGATTACAGTTGTTTTTAAATGGAATTGTAGGTTTGGTCCAATATGATACAACTCATTGCTTTTAAAAACAAAGAAAGTTCAAATGTTTGAAAAACAGCTGTAGAAATAACTTGAAAACGTACGAGTTAAGTCGGTGCAGAAGTAATGCAAGTGTTTCCATTGAAACGATCGTTTAAAACGACACTTGAGTTTTTATGTGTGTTTGTCTTTTTGTGGCTTCAAATTCCAGCTTTGTTTTCTACATTCGATACGGGAGAAAATTCCCGGAATTAGATCTTCAGGAACACGTACGTCAGTTTGAGCATTACTTTAGTAACTAAATTATTAAACAAGAAAGTAGTTTACGCCCAGCAATATAAATATTAACATTTCACAATATCTGCTCAATAAACTTTGAAAATTTGGGATATGAATAAATACAGGTATTACACTTCACAGGCACGACCAACCAGAGTTACTTCTCAAATTTGATTAAATGATGGGTATTTTAAAAGTGCTCATCGTTCAATGAGGCATAAGTTGTTAAAAGTTTATTTTATGAAAAAAATAGATTTTAAATTTAATAATCCAGGCAACAAAGACATTGTAACGGAAAAATCATGTATTAGCCAAATTTGGTGCAGTTGTAGGGAAAGGATCCCTAAACAACATACTAAAAGTGCTGACCGATGGGAGTGGAGTTAAGGGGGATAGGGACTCTAAAGGTCCCATTTTTAGGGTTTTCGTAAATAATTCGAAAACTATAAATTTTTGTATACAATACTAAATTAGCAAATTAAAGAAGATTTTAAATTTCTTGCAAGAAAAGTATAACTATTTCGGTTCAAACATCTACAAGATATAAATCTTATTCAAATACTTCTTCCATAAGAAATACATGTAAATTAGTTGTATGAAAAAAATACGTGAATTTCTTCCTCTATTTGGTATTTTTTTTGCCTTCGTTGCCCGGACTATAAAGTTGTCAGTGTTTGGCTAAGAGCTAATGATGTTAGGTTTTGAATTTAAAAAATTACCTATAACCTACACTATTAAGGTACTATTTTCCGATATAATATGAGTATTGTTTGTACGCGCAATGGTTTTAAACCCAGCTTTAAAATAACGATGTTTTAATTGTTAGAAATATTTTAGGTTCAGACTAAAAACCATCTTATTCTAGGCTTTGTTTTAGATTTTTTTTTATTAAATGAAATGAAGTCGTAAGCCTAATTAAAAGGTTAATAATATTAATATTTAAATACTTTTTATACACAATCGTACTTCTACTTTCTTGTCCTTAATTTGAAATATCAGCCTGTCATAAAAAATCTTATGCGTTTCTAAGTTTTACTAAGAGTACTGGTTCAGTTAAAAACATAGTTTTTTTCATCTCAATTTAAAAATTATATCAAACGTTAAATATTTTTGCTTCAAAACTGCACACAGTAGATATTTTGGCTTAGACAATATTGTATACAAATGTTAAGTTATTCCAATCTTAAAAGCATAGTGCTAGTCGTTTAACAGAGAAGGTATATAGAACTCAAGCAGTTTTAACATACATCAACTGAAATAAAATATCATTTATTGCAGTATAACGTATTCCATACACAATGAAAACATTCACGAGGCGTTTGAATGAAACACAGGCATTAACTTTGTGATGCAAAGTACAAACATTGTTTTCTTCACGCCTGAAAAAACTCCAAAGAGCCTGCGGATGGAAAATACCACTGGAGTTTTTCATTACACTGCCCATTTCAAACGCTTGCCTTTTCATTGTTCTTCGTTCTTTAAAGTGTCTGGCATTCACACAGTTATTTTCTTTGTGACTTTCATCACTTTTTATTCATTTTCAAAAGCTTTCCAGATGATTTGGAAATGAAACAGATTTGCATAATGGTGACCTGTTATGCAAATTAAATTCAAGCATTTGGAAACAGCACAGCACTGAACCTGGCTTTAATCTTTATCCAAAGGAATGCTAGTATACTGTAATACTTTTGGCAACAGGTCATATATACAAATTACGTTTACAGTTAAGTTCTCTGGTCGTATATTCACAACAGTATTTTATGGTCATTTAGTTAATGTTTAACACACGTTATTACATAAAATATGCATTACAAAAAAGCGTGTATCAGAAGAAAAATTTCAATAAAAATATGAAAAGTCGAAATCCGACAACTTTTGTTTTGACTCTAAAAATTACACGAAATACATATTACACTTTTTTAAAAATAACTAATGATCAGACATATATTGTACACGTTCACAATGTCTTCTTACTGATATAGTTGGAGGTGTTTATTAAAATCAACAATTTTTGTCTCGTTACGGTATTAGGTTTGATTTAATAGTTCATTCTCTGGAAGCTTAAATAGGGGTTTTCACATTTCCTATATATTTTTACATGTTAAGGTAGCTTGTAGTATGGTGGTATCGTAGTTTGTAGAATTGGTCTTAAAGCTACATACTCTAATACAAATTGGAAACCTTTTTATTTTGTTTATTTTTACATTACAAGAAACATATACTACTATCTCACGTAAAACCTAGGTTTGTTAAGTTAATATACACAACTACAAAATTAAAACTAAGTAACCACATGATCGATTATGATAGTTCTTAATCCAAACAAAAACACTTTGAAAAAATTAAAATTTACCTGTTATGCACGGAAGAAGAAGAATAAACCATGCCGTGTTTAAATATATAATCCACCTCCAAAACTCCAACAGAAGCAACTTCATGTTCAGATATTCCACCCTACATTCCAAAACCAACTTGATCCACAGCTTATTTAACACAGCGAAAATTAACAGTATTGAAAATATGAACAGTTTAGAAACACTCTACACTGTATAGTGTACACTTTATTACGTATACAACTTTTTAGTTTATCAATAAAGGGGTGCGAACAGTTACGCGTCAGATATGCAACTGAACTGAGTACCGCGCCGATGTAGCGCCGGTGCTGCTATTACAGCACCTGGTGGTCGTCATTGAAACTAGCTTACATTACATATGATATGTAGCCGTCCACTGTACTACTGAAGACAGATAGGGTTAAAATAACGCCTTAGTTTAAACATTTTCTACCAAACAGGATAAATTTCTCCCTAAGCTACTCGAGTCTGGATTTATTTTACGAAGTTCACGCCTTTTTACAACTTTGCTTTGCAATATTTCACACCTTGTGAATATTTAAGGCGAGAAGGTGTTGTATTTTGTTACAAGAAACCTTTATTAGGTTTAGTATGAGCTAAGTAAAATATTCACAGTTTTCAAACTTTATAGAAAACAATACGCCGTTTTACACAGTTTAAAATCATGTACAAACTAATTATATAGCTGAGTTCATGGCTTAGTTAACTTAAGAGTGGCTTCGATTCATTTAATTTTTCACTCAATAATTTTAGATTATTTACTTTTTACTCAGGATGTTTTTTGTATGTTTTTTTTACATAATCCGTCTGTTGTGAATTCTTGTCAATAGGTTTGTATACACCAGGGCCCATACATAATAACACACCGTTTGAATGTTAAACATTTTCCTTTAAAGAAAAATGTCTATAACTCACACTAAGTTTTCATTATTGAAATTAAAAAGCCAAGAGAAGAAAACATATTTCATAGTTAGGGTTGGGAGTAGAAATGGATGGTTTTATATTTTCCGGCAAAATTATCGCAGTGTTTTCACAGGTACTGACCTTTTGGCTAATAATTTTATTAAGCCCAGCTTACATTTGATCCAAAGTGTATAAAGTATTGTCCACACTAACCTCAAATTAACCGAGATGAAAATGTGCGTTTATACCTTTTATTATTCTTGAAATATGTTTTAAGAATAGGAATAAGAATAAGAAATTAATAAGAAGTGAATAAGAAAGGATCAACAATTTGTGCAAAAAAGTCATTACTCTATATGGTATTATAAGAAGTCAGTTGAAAACATGTATTGAACAATAAGGCATGTGATCTCAGTGTTGTGTATGAAATTTATAATGAATAAATCATCACTAATTATTGGACAATACATTCTTACATATAGCGAAACATTGTATTTTAGACTATTTAACAAAATTTCCAGCCGGAGTTAAGAAACATATATATTTTTAGGAAATTAAATTCTTAATAAGAAAGGATTTTAATCCCTTCTCCAGATTTTCAATTGCAAACACAATTTGTCTCTCACAGGATGACGTCATATCCTGTCTCCAGAGTGACGGATGAGAGCAAAACTGTACCGGAAGTAAGACAGACTACCATGGTTATCATTAGGCAATTTCTGGTTAACTTACAAATTAACACTTCTTTTGAAGTTCCACACTACTTAAACTATTTATGACTAGTTAATATAAGTATACAAAAATAGTTTAGGTAACTAAATAATGTTTTACATTAAACAGGTAATTCTACCAATTATATTGGTACATAGGGCCAAGGTTATTAAAAGAAAAAGACATAGGACAACCAAAATCTTCTAGCTAGACGTGGTTGGGGTAGTTACTCAATCTAAACACACCTATTTTGTAGATCTCGTTGTAAAAGTGCGTAAGAGATCACACTCTACAAACCAAAAGGTGTTGAAGGATTGGAGTTTGTTTTAAGTGTTTATTCAGTACGTTAAAAAGCTTAACAGTAGAAATTCTACATCAAGTTGTATTCTAAAATGTAGACCGAGTAAGTGTTGGCTGTGACACTTACTATTCTGTGGTAATATAAATGTAGAAATATTTACTATACTCAAATCAAACCAAAATACTTTTATCCCAAAAATTAAACAGTACAATAGAACGATACCTTAGATGGAATTATTCCCCCGGATAGACTGTCGATCTGTGATCGGGGGAAGAGTTCTTTTAAATTATCGTTAAGCAACTACTAGAAATTAAAAATAAACAAAAACTTATATAAAATCAAACATTAAAAAAGAAGGAAACCCCTAATGTAATTTAAACAGAGACGAAAGTCTATAGTAATAAATTGAAACAAAAAGTTTAATAAAATGGAACATACTAAGCTAGAAATTATTGAAAGCGGTAACAAAATCATGATTGAATTATGACATCAGCCGTGGCGAAATCGTCTTTTTCAGTTAGGTATTTGCAAAATTATACTGTGTAAACGGACTGTATCAGCGCCTATGTTTTTGTAACGAAGTACCTAATAAGGCGTGATCCAACCAACTTTTGATTGTAACTAAATCAGTCGATGCTTGGTCATAGACCACGTCCCTCGTACAGCCGGTAGTAACCAACGATGTACCACAGCTGTGTCGTCAGCAAAGAGGAATAGTTTGCTTCCAGTTACTCAATAGGGTACAGAGTCCTAAATAAATCTAAAGACAAAGCGTATTTAAAACTCTTGTGGTGTAAGTTGACCGATTTTTAGCTAACATTTCACAAAAATTTCCAAAAAGAGGTTAGACAATAGTTTGACAACATTTACATAACAGTATAAACCATAAAAAACGTACTTAAATTGCATAAGCCTATTTTTATATAAACAAACCTTCAAGATGATATGCATGTCAACGTTTGTTTAGTTTAGTTTACCTGCTTTAAACAATTTTAAAACTTAATGACGTAATGAAAATACAAATATTGCTAAAATATTTTTTTTACTTTATGATCGTAAGTAATTGGTCGCTTACCTCGATTGTGTACAAGTAAGCTTACTGTAGTTATATCAAAGCCAGTATGAAGGTAAATAATGCAGCAATTAAGTCAGCCAATCCTACAATTCCCCTGTGTAATCGGTGAGTGTATTATACGTCTAAGCGGATATACGTGTAAACCTTAGTTGGCGGATGTCGGGGACTGAGGCTATTGTTAATTCATGCGCTTGTGTAAGGCAGGTGATTTTGTATATATAATTTTCCCTACTAAGGCAATCTTTACATCAAAGCTACGATGTCTTTCGATATACAAAAAACTTGAATTACACGTTTAACCGTGGTTTTCACGTAGCCCGTTGGTAACTGCAGTCTTGATTTTCAATTTATCTTCTCCTGAAGTTTCATTTTATGGGGAATTTATAGTGGATATGCTAAGACTGACGAGTAGGCCTACGAAATTAATATTTTTAAAAGGTTATGCTGTCTACATACGCAATTTGAAGTTTCTAAAATTTTCAAGAAAACTGTTCATAACCTGGCCTTCTAACTATACCTACCTACTATCAATATATTGGTAGATAGTACAGTAAATATACATTAATAAACAAATCTGGTCCTATGACTTATTCACCTTTAGAGCCAACAAACATTCAATTAGAATTTAATTTATTGATATTAAACAACAAAGATTTGGTTTAAAAAGTCTTTAAACATGTAAAATGTAATGTTTTCAATCATTTTAGTGAATTTCCCACCTAGGAAATAAGCTATTACCATAGGTATCATGGTAGGACCAATATCTGGGGCCGTTTTACTTTTAAATTATTATGGCACTCAGAGGAAAAAAACATAGTCCATTCAAATCCATATATTTATGTATCCGTAAGCACGATAACTTGAATACAGTAAAATGACCCAATTTCGATCAAGTTTGGTGCTAAAGTATAGAGTATTAACATTTATTCAAACTCGTTTACAAACTAGCATGACTGCACTATGAGAACAGAGTTTTATGGGGTAAAAATTGGGTTTTCTTAATTTCGATCCTCAAAACATAGAATTTCCCTATGTAGGCTATCTCTTGACCAATTAAATTGAAAAAAAAATAGTATTAGAAGCTTAAACTAAAAATTATTAACAAATTGCATTTGGAAGCATTTTTGTACGGTTTTTTGTTGTTGATAAAATGCAATATACTGTAAATTTAAAATTTCCATATTATTCTAATGAGAATAAGTAAACTGTAGTGGTTTACTTGTTTATGGATGTATTTTTAACAAATTTATTTATTATATACTTGGCTATGAACATAAAAAAACCACATTATTACCCTCCCCTTATGAGCAAAAAACCTAAATACTCGTTTTTACGAGTATTTAGTTTTACGAGTATTTTTTTTTTTTTTTTTGAGAGTATAACTTTTGTTCAACCTCTCAAATTTAAATTTGCTTAATCAACAGGTTTGCTGTGTACTCTATTTTATCAGATATGGAAAAATCCATATTCCTCAAAACTGCACCTTCATACCTTATTAAGAATAGACAAAATGCATTAAGAAAATGCAATTTATTTCTCTCATGAGCATATTTGCATTTATTCATGGTTTTACAGGATAGCACTAAATAGTAAATATGGGTAGGGTAAGCACCACGATACTTGCTAACTAAACTTGATCTAAAACTAATATTTCTTGAAATAAGTGAAATAAGAGAACTTGTAAACTAAATTATCAATCAACAATAAAAACAGTAAACAACAACATAAGTTGTAGTTCGCAAAGCTTATTGATACTGTAATATTTGTGTACAAAGCTGTATTTAAAGTTCCACAGAGCTATTAAACTTTTAATTAATTTTCAGGTAATCCAAACCTTTTGAGCATAGTTTAGCTAATTAATTTTCACGTGATTTTCAATTACTAATTAATTAATCAGATGTTTGTAATCAGTGTATTCAAATACCATTTCATTCGCTTTTAACCAAATCCATCCTGCTTGTTTTAATCCCTTACTGTCCAGAATTAATCGTGTTTGGTTTATACAAATAAAGACTTTAGTAGGACTTAGTAACCCGAAGTCTTATTTCCTATCGAATCTTAATTCATGTTTTATTTATTGTTGTTTTGTATAAGAAGTGCTATACAAAGACTTTAGAATACATAAAATCATAAAAAGTCAAGTAGTTATTCAATGTATGAAGGTATTCCT